ATGGCTTTGCATTAAGCAAAGCAATTCAGTTACACTCTCAAGAGGAGTAGCCAGGACAGAGTTTTCTCCCCCATAAAGCTCTGGAGAGGGAGCCACCGTGGCTCCAGGTCAGTGCTCTGAAAACTGGCCCAGGGCTTTACAACTAATTGAACTTTACTATGGCTTATGTCTTTAGTAATCAAGAAGTCTCCAAAATGTTCAAAAAGTGATAAACTAGAAAAAATATCCTTAAGGATGTAAAATAACTGCGTGGTTTATACAATACAATTTGACAAATATTTATTTTAAGATACAAAATCAATCCAGACATGTCCTTAGACAAATTGATTTATTTTTAATCTTTCAAATGCCAAAATGATCAAACGGCAAAAGAAAAAAAAAAGGAAAGAAAGAAAAAAGAACGAAGGAAGGAAAAAAGAAAGTAACAGACCACTGAATAGATGAAAACCTTCAAAAAGGACACTTTTTGAGGCTTTGATCATTAAAAGACACCTGCTTTCTGTTGCTGTAAGCCAAACTATTAATATTATCGGCTGACGTTTACTGAGAATTTGCAACATGCAGGGAACTTAAGTTATATGGATTGTCACACTTAATCCACAAAATAACTTTATGAGATAGGTGCTATTATTTCCCGTTTTCAGATGAGGAGAACAAGGAGTAAAGCGGTTAAGTAATCTGACTCATATCACTTTTCCAGTAAAAAGTAGGGCTGGGATATTAACTTGGAAGGAGTCTTAACTCCAAAGTCTATGTGATCAAACCACAATGCTGTACTGCTCCCAGAGGAGCTGGGAATGGAGAATGTAGCCAGGCATTAACCCTCTCTACCACCATTCAGTTCTGGGGATAAGCAGGGCCACCATGTACAGTTCTTCAGGTTGTGCACTGCTTAAGCATGCCACAGCTAAGGAAATGCATTTCCATTGTAGATGTCTTCGAACTTATATGAGAGGCTGCAGGTGTTTGTGAAGATCTGGACCTTCTAACCAAGTCCTGGGATAGTGACACACACTACTGTGCACTCAGAAACTGGCACACACACGAGACCACCTTGTCCCAGCCACACTCCAGGCAGCCCATGGTATTGTTTCTTTTCCTCTTTTATTGCTTTCAGTGACACAGTTCCTACCCACAGCCTGTCTTCAGACCTGGAAGGGGGAATGCATAGACAATACGTGTTGCTATCTATGGTTATTGTACAACAATATATCAACTGCCTTGATTTTTCTAAAGAAGAAGTGCTCTTTCTAATTGGCCCAAGGGTGCTACAGTGTCCCTCAGGGGCCTGGTGAGCATCCTTCACTAGAGTCTGCAGTACCTCTGCCCCTTGGAGCTCCTTAATTGTCATTTTGATGTCAGTTTAAAACCAACAGAGGTAGGCATTACATCTTTTACAAGGAAGAGAACCCACCCATGATATATTTTCCAAAGCAAAATGTTGGGGTATTTTTAAGCATGTTGTTATCCTCCGGGATGAGCCATGCTGGTCAGTGCTCTCTTTCCATGGAAATCATCTCATTTCCTGTATTGTGCTTTGTCTGGAGCATGAATTAGGGACTACCAGACGTGCAGTTGACCTGGAGTCTGTGACCCAAATTGGCTCTCCTGGGAGCCGATGGGGCCAGGCCAGCAGAAGGCACCAGCTGCCCAGCCAGACTACTGGGGAATTCCTCTCCTGAATTTTCTCTCCTCCCCAGATTGCTGCATCACTTATCCTGAAAGGGCAAGCTAAACTGGGGCATCCTGAAAAATCTGGGGCCCTGGACTGGAGGGGAAATGAGAGATGGAAGGATGTGGATTCTTGACGTCACTGTCACCACCCCTGGAAAAGTTCTGCAAGAGTAAGTGACAGTGAGGACCACAAGGAACCAGGACCAGCTCCTTCCTAGAACTAGTAGGCAGGGTGCAGTGACTTGCTGCAGCTGTGGAGAGGCGAGGTGCAGAGCTCCATCTTGTACTTGGAGCTTCTTGTAGCTCCAGCTGTTTCCAGCTCTCCAGGGCTGATTCTCAGTCTCAAGGTTAAAGAAAAGAAGCTAGAAGGTGTTCAGCAGCTCAAAAAGAGAGAGAGTAAAAAGAAAAGTCCGGGTGGATTTTATCTCTGGACTGAGATGGCTGGAGAAGCCTCAGCTAAGCCAGGAGGACAGGTGAGACTCGGCTTTCTCCCCAGAGGCTGGGGTCTTGTCTCTCCCCCAGGGGGAGGGGTGGTGGTGGTGACTTGCAGCAGCAACTCTCAAGTGTGCATTCAGGGGCCTTTCCTGGAGCAGGCTGGGCTCATGCCCCGGAGGCCAGGGAAGGACCATGGGGTTTAGCCCACAGCCCACAGTGCCTCCCCACTCTCCTGCTCACCCTGACTCTCCCTCCCACCAGAGTGCATGATTCCTTTGAGGCCCTGAGTCATGTGGAACCAACAAATGTCAGAAAGAGAAGGAGACATGGAAATCACACAAAGTTCTTCTGCTGTAGTGGAGACAAGGATGCATTTGCTCTAGGTTATTCTATAAGCCGTGAGCAAAGCGAAGGCTCCAGAGTCCTGGTTCTATGCACTTCCCTCTACATCACATGGGCTCTTTTGCTTTCTTGTCTGCTGCCCCAGGGGTAGGGAATAGGAGGGAAGTGTGGGGGGGGCAGTAGGGATTTGGGGAGTCATACACCAGCCTGTGCTGGAGATGTAGATGCCCTTCCCAGCAGGACAGAGGGATGAGAGCCCCCCACCACGTGGCCCTCATCCCCTAAAATGCTGTGCATTATTACAGAGGACTGTAGCCCCAGGCTGCTGAGTTGGGGCTCTCTGTATCCTGGAGAAAGGTTTTCTGAAGGTCACTGGCAGGGTGGTTGGCTTGGAGACATTTCCTCGAATATAGTCCTTTCAGCCTCCAATCAAGGCTGATAACTCCCCAGAGACTTTTTATCTCACACTCCGAGCTTCCTCATTGCCCCTCAGGGGCGAGGTGGCTTTTGCTCCCAAGCCTGGAGATTGCTGCGCGGGTGGACTTGGGAGGAACTAGGTGGTGTGGTGCGGAGACTTTGACCTCAACTTGTGCCATGTCAGCACCTAGTGTGTTAGAAAAACAAGCCCCGAGGAACCTGGGCTTGGTGGACATTAATCAAACAACAGATTAGGCGCAGGCACACCTGGGAGAGCCTCCAGGTGAAGGCAGGCAGCCAGAAGCTCTGGACGGCGAGTAGGGCCTAGGCTGCCATGGCGGCGCCCAAGGCAGGGGCATCGCTAAGAGGGCACGAAGGGGGCGCGAGGAGCCTGAGGACTCTTGTAGCTTCCTCCGCTCTCGGGGCTCTACCTGGATAGAGCAGGCCAAGGCTTTAGGGGAGACGGCTGGGCAGAGCCAAGCTGAGGTGACAGTTTGCAGCTGCAGTGCCAACCTATGGATCCTACCATTCTCCTGCCCCCTACTCTCTTCCTTTGCCCTTCCTTTCCTCTCCCGCTTCTCCTTGCCTCCCGCGTTCCCTTTCCTCCTCCTTTAGCCTATGTCCCAGCCTGGCCACTGGCCTTGTGTGGCTTAGTCTCATTGGGCAAGGGTGGGCCGTAAGGGTCTCCTGCACTCGGGCCAGACCACGATGGTCTGCACCTGTTCTCAACATTAGTGAGGCAGGGATTAGAGGGGGAAGGAGACTATGATCGCTAACTTAATTTTCTTTCTTTCTTTCTTTGTTTGTTTGTTTGTTTGTTTGTTTCTTTCTTTCTTTCTTTCTTTCTTTCTTTCTTTTTCTTTCTTTCTTTCTTTCTTTCTTTCTAAATGTATAGATCTGAAGAACTGCAGGCAGTAGATAGACTTAAAGCACAGATTTTGAATCAACTCAAAAGCATCCATGAAAACCCTGGGGTGGGGGGCGGCGCCTGGGTGGCTCAGTCGTTAAGCGTCTGCCTTCGGCTCAGGTCATGATCCCAGGGTCCTGGAATTGAGCCCCGCATCGGGCTCCCTGCTCGGCGGGAAGCCTGCTTCTCCCTCTCCCACTCCCCCTGCTTGTGTTCCCTTTCTCGCTGTCTCTCTCTGTCAAATAAATAAAATCTTAAAAAAAAAAAAAGAAAACCCTAGGGGGAATACAAATGAAGTATAATGTACAATCTCTGTCTTTATAATCAGCAAGCAATAAAAGACTACTGAGTGGGGATCAGTATGGTGTCTCTTCCGAGAGTGGTCCATTCTTGCTCCTGCGCCATGCTACATCCAGCCCAGAGCCTGGGGTAGAGTGATGGCACATAGAGTCCCACCTGGCCAGCAGGAGAGACCAGAGTAAGGGGAGAGCAGCGTGGACCGGAGGACAGGGAGGGCTTTCTAGAAGTTGTGGAGAAGAAAGAGAATAGGACCCTTGTGCCGACAATTTCACGTCCTGAGAGCTAATTTCTAAGTCCTTGTTACCACCCGGCGGCACCCCACCAGCAAAACAGAAAGCTTCTCTTGAAGGAACCAATTCTCTTTCTGCAAAAAAGAAGGGGTGAGAAGGGAAGGGGGAGGGAGCTACTCTGTACCCAGCACACTGCCAGCACTTCTAACACAATCTAGTTTCAGTTGTGCAACAACTCCCTGACGCATGTGCTCATTCTCCCGGGGAGGAAGCTGACCCCTGAAGGCCCCACAACTCCCGCCTACGTTTCAACTTCAAGGGTGTCATCTTTCCACGACACAAGGCTCCCCCACATTCAGAGCTCCGCGCTGGCAAGTGGGTGCGGGGGCTGGGATCCTACAGGGGGAGTTCCAACTCTTCTGAACACAGAAACCCCAAGGGTGGGGACCTTTTAGCCTTGGTAGTGGTGACTGGGCCAAACACGCATGCTGAGGAGTGGGTGATGGAGTCATGCTTCTCTCAGGGAGGGCAGTTCCCGTCCTGCCCTTGGTGACATATACCCCATCCACCACAACACTGAGCACACTGAGGTCCTCCAGTGAGAAAGGGCCCGCCCAGGTCTCCCTGCTGCTCACCCTAGCTTCTCACCTGCCCCCCTCAGGCTTCTTCAACTACAGTGTTTTTTGCAGGTCGCCAACCAGAGGGCAGGTTGGAAAATGCCCGTCCTCCTGACGTTGTGCCTCTTGCAAGGTGAGTCCCAAACACAGCCCAGATTCGGAGCTTGCAAAACCAGCCCTGTGCCTTCCAGGCTGCGGAGATTCCTGGCGGGCGGTTCGGTGGTGGCGTTGACCGCTGCCCCGGCACTTTGGCCATACCCTTGGCTCTCTCTCCCGGCATCCCAGACCATGCAGTGCATCCAGGGAGGGGTCAGGTCTGGGCCTGGAGGGAGTGAGAGGCGCAAGAGCTCACAAGAGAGAGCCAATGCCTGCTTTGCTCATTTCTAGAATATTCACTGTTAGGATATTCCCAATGTTTCTGCTCTCTTCCCTTCAAGTTGATGACTGAAAGGTGGCGGCATTTGCAAGATGAGGGTTCCAGAGCATACACACAAGAGACAGAAGGGGTACTGCTCATTCCCACTCATTCCAAAAACACTCAGTGCCAGGCCCAGGACTAGGGACTTAAAGATGCAGACCTGCCCTCCTCAAAAGTGTTCAGAGTCTACGAGAAACTGGTGGGTAAACAAAATTTGCATCTCTGCATCTACTGATTTAATCAGCACACATTTATGGAGGGCCAAGCACGTGCCAGTCACAAGGGACAGCTGGATGGAGGACAGAGTCTTTGCCCCAATAGGTCCTGGCAGGCTGGTATGGTGAGGCTGGCCAGGTATGGATCAGGCTCAAATGATGCATGGCCCTGTCTCCGTGCTGTGGTGTCTAGATTTTATTTTGATGGAAATGGGGAACCACTGAGAAATGTGGTGAATATGTGCCCAGAGTGTCTGGTACCTAGAACTTAGTCCCGTGTAGATACTGAACAAATAATCATTAAATGAATGAATGAAAATGCTCTGGTAATACCCAAAAAAAAGGGTGAATAATTGTGTTTGGCTTATAAACAAATCAGAATTTTAATGAACCAAACGTTCATTTTGAGCAAGAACTCTCTGTCATATAATCACACCATCTCTTGATTTGAATCTCCCACTAGCTGCCTTTGAAAAATTTTCAGTAGAAGCAGGTGTCCCCTGCCCCCAGATGAAAACTCAGGCAGGCCCATGATTTTTCTGCTAACATATTAATGTAGGTAAGAGTCCTGACTCAATTCCCTTAAGTCTCAAATGCTGAATTTGATACTTTTAAGGGTGCAGTTAAGTATTCTGGACAGCATTTCAGTCTTCCTTCAAAGAAATGCCCCCTCAGCCCCCCAAGGCCTGCGGCCAGGAAGGCAGCACAGGGGATGGGGTGGCCCCCTCTCCGCTGTCCGTCTCCTCCTTCTCCTCCCCATGTTGGCAGCTGACACGTGGGACTCCAGCAGTGTCACAGGAGCCAAAGGGAGGCAAGGCAGAAGGCAGGGAACTCTTACCTGATGGGGTGGCAAGGAGTTTACAGCCGGCTCTTCCTCTCATGGCTGCATTTGTGAGCTTAGAGGGTCCCCTGATGGTTCATCTCCTCCCTTTGTCCCAGGTTCTGCTTTGACCCATCCACACAGAAGACCCCATCTCAGATGCCAGTGGAAGGGCCCTCTGCCCTCCCGGCCCCACCTCTGGGCCAAGGAAACACTCGCTCCTTTCCCACCCCCATGCCGGATGGAGGAGACAGCCACTGCAGGTGCAACCATTCTCCCCCTGTCCTGCCTCTTGTGCTCTCTCAGACCGAGTTGGTCTCTAGTCCCTGGGCTCCCTCCATCCACAGGACCCCCCCTCACTCCTCCCCGGGGGAAGCCAGAGCCACAGACAACTGCAGGGAAGTGATGGTGGAATGAGTGCAGGGCCCCTGCCTCCACCAAAGGGCTGGGAATCTGCAGCAGGGAGCCCAGGCGGGCACCACATGGATCCTAAAATGCTAGCCCACAGGTGACCAATAAAACATTCCAAAGTATTTATAATACATACCAAATATATTCCCAATTATATAATATATATACACCTTAATTATATATAACTAAGAGCTACTGATCAGTAATTCACCAAACGAGTTCTCAAGGGCAAGTAAAACTTGGTATTAACAAAAGAAAAAATGTTCACTGCAAGAGCTCATTAAGGGTTCTTAATCAGCCTTCTCCTGCGAGGTCAGACTGCCCCCATCCTGCTGATGAATGGGGCAGAGAGCCTCTTGTATGTGCCATGTGTAGATTGCAAGAATTCATGAGAACTAGGGTATGAACACTTTATCAGGGCACCCCATCACTGTTGTCCCGAGACGGTCCTTGTTTGTAGTTGTGAATATTCTTGACTTTTAAAGACAAGTTGCCATTTAGCTTTACTAATAATGGCATAGTTGGTGGCATGTCATTTAATTAAACTTACGGTGAGTACTGCCACAGTCATAGCACCGTGGCCTCGAGTCTTCCTATAATTAGACCTCAAGACATATGTAGCAGGCAGGCCGGCTTCATGAGCATGGGCCCTGGGCAGTCATAGGGCCCCAGACTCAGAAGGTGCTTGGTTTAACGCTCTGCTATCACCATAGTGAACAGGGGTTAATAAACTCCGAACAAGGGGTTCTGCATTTTCATTTTGCACTGGGCTTTGCAATTCTGTAGCCAGTTCTGGCAACAGGATATTAAACTGAACCTTCTTGGGGCTCCTGGGTGACTCGGTCCATTGAGTGTCTGCCTTTGGCTCAGGTCGTGATTTTGGGGTCCTGGGATCGAGTCCTGCATCAGGCTCCTTGCTCAGCGAGAGCCTGCTTCTCCCTCTCCCTCTGCAGCTCCCCCTGCTTGTGCTCTCTCTCTCTCTTTCTCAAATAAATAAATATCTTTAAAAACAAGCAAAAAAACCTGAGCCTTCTTGGCTTCAGAGGGCCCTAAAGACATAGAACAAATTGATAGATGCCAGGCACCCACATCCTAAAGCAGGATGTTGAAGCGCCTGCGCCGGACTGTGGCGAGGACCACAGAGGGGGTTGTGCCAGCCACAGCCCCCCATGTAGCCATCTGAAGAATCAGCAGAGGGTAGCCGAGCTCACCGGAAGAGCTGTTTTGGAGAGAGATGATGGGGTGTTGGGCTCGCCTTCACCTGCGCCCTCACGTTCAGTCAAGTAAGAGAAGGAACTTGTAGAAAGCCACTCACCAAGCTGTCCCATGTCCCAGCTTCTCCTGATGGCAGGGCCAAAGTGTGCTTCCCGTGACCAAATGTGGGACCCACAGAAAGGAGCTGGCCTGGGGGCTCCACCACAAAGGCCACCCAGAAAGGATGGGGACCACCCAAAGAAGGGCAGGTGGCCCGAAGTCATAGGTGTGGTGGTGTTGGAGGAGGGGCAAGAGGCCAGCAGGAGAGGCGGTTCTTACAAGGAAGGAGCTACGGCCAGAGGGCCGGTCTGGGAGGCAAAAGTTCTAGGAAGATCTCTGGCCATCCCTTGTTGCCCCTCACCTTCCCCTCTGTCCCTCCAGATGCAATCCCCGAGGGGCCTAAACAGCCGTTTGGAATAGAGGGAAGAGAACAAAGAGACAAGAGTTGCAACCAGTCACCGGACGGGACTGGATAGATATATTGCTCTTGACCAGATTGGACTTTTTCCTCCCCATGTAAGACTATGAAAGTTACTGTACCTGAAGTTATGCCTGAGATTTATCAAGGAGCAGAGCCAGTATGAAGAGACAGTGTAAGAACAAGCTTTGTTTCTGTTCGCACCAGGTCAAGTTCATGTCACTCAGTGAACAGGCCATAGACGTGTTCGAGCATGATTTATGCCTATGGCCAAAGCAGACATATTTACAGTATTGTTCATCTGTGCTTGGATGGTGGTACGTGTTTCTATTTCTACAGAAAAGCACGGTGCGAACCGGTGTGAACATTTTTCAACCACCGGTCTGGGGATGGACCCACTGAGTGGGCCAGGATTCTTGTGTTCAGGGCCCCCTTCCCTCTCGAGGGAAAGCACACTAATCTGTCCTCACCTCCTTACCATCTCTCTTGGGTTTTCCATCAAACAAACCATAGTCCTCCCATCAGATGTTGACCCAGGCTCTGGACGGACTTGTATGAGAATGTCCGGCGCATGATAGGCGCTAGCTAAATAGTTGGTAAGAGTACTCTTGCATTTCTGTCTCTCAGATGGGGCCTTAGACACAGCTCCATTCCACGGCTGGGGTACTCCTGATCCAGGGCACTGAGCTCCGACGTGCCCATATTGATTCTTCTTCGCTTCACTTTCATGAAGGCATTTTCTGACCTGTTCCCTAAATCTGGCAGAGTTTGGAGCTTGTAACTCCCCACACAGTGACTCTACCCAACACTCCCTTTCCTTTGACTCTCCCCCCTCACCCCTCCAGCAGCTGCAAATGCACTGAAGGGCCCGAGGCTGGTGTCTGGGGAACCTGGGGGAGCTGTCACCATCCGGTGCCATTACACCCCCTTGTCCATCAACAAGCATGTGAGGAAGTACTGGTGCCGCCTAAGCCCCGTGACGTGGATCTGCCACACCATCGTGTCCACCACCAACTACACTCACCTCGGCTACCGCGGCCGCGTGGCTCTAGCAGACTTCCCGCAGAGAGGCTTGTTTGTGGTGAGGCTGTCCCAGCTCTCCCCGAATGACGTGGGGCGCTATCGCTGTGGCATTGGAAACACAAACAGCATGTTCTTCTTCAGCATGAAGCTGACCGTCTCTGCAGGTATGGGCTGATGGCTGCTGGGTCAAGTCTGGTGACGTGAATGCTGGGAAGGAGAAGGTGCAGGCGCTGACCGACAGGTCCAAGAGGGCTTCAAGCCTGAGGGGGGTGGGGAGTGATGAGGAAAACCTGGGGGTAAAGCAAGGACTTTACGAAGTAGCCTTTCATTTCAGAAAGAAATTACCTTCAGAAGGAAGGTAGATATTTGGAAAAACTGCCTAAATGGATGCATGCAAGCTGTCCCACCCACATTTCCCCAAATTTTGTGGCCTGAATATTTGGTTTTCTTTTGTTTTTTTTTAAATTTTTTAAAAGATTTTATTTATTTATTTGAGAGAGAGAATGAGATAGAGAGAGAGCATGAGACGGAGGAGGGTCCGAGGGAGAAGCAGACTCCCTGCCGAGCAGGGAGCCTGATGCGGGACTCGATCCCGGGACTCCAGGATCGTGACCTGAGCCGAAGGCAGTCGCTTAACCAACTGAGTCACTCAGGCACCCCTGTGGCCTGAATATTTGAGAGGACTCCAAGAAGGGAGTGAATTGAAAAATGTGGCTTCTTCGGCTCACGATGTCTCTTTGTTCAGATAAGCAGAGCAGGTCAGATACTCAGGACAGAAGAGGCTTTTCCTGAGACCGAGCCCCTCAGCAGACATCTGAGAAGCTGCCAGGTCCATGCTCTGCATGGTAGGTTCCAGAGACGCGACCTGGAGGTGGGCACCCAGAGTCCATGGAAGGGGGCCCAGGCAGTGGCTGGCCAGGAGAAGTGGCATGTCAGAGGACAGGCAGAGCCTGGCATTGCACTTGTCCGGTTAGATGTTGCCCTGACCATCTGCGGAGATTGCCTGCTCCGTCTGAGGAGCAGTATATGGTGGGCTGTGGGAAAAGGGCCAGCATGGGAGTGCAGGACAGCTCTCAGAGTGTACGTGGGCATTAAACAAGGAGAAAGGACCATAGAATGTCAATATTTGCGACAGGCTAGAGAATACACCTGGTTTTCCCTCATTTTTATTTTATCCATCATACTGACTGAAGACTGTGTTGCTTAGTGAGGTCGCATTCCTTGGAGCAAGCACCTTAAGCCTGGCATCCTTTGCTAAATGCTGCAGGCAGCTGGGGTAGCCTTTCCACGTGGTCTCCCTCTGCCGTTCACAGATCCTTCCAGAACCATCCCCATGGCCACTCCAGCTGCCGGTGAGCTCGTCATGGGATCCTTCGGAGCAGTGTTACCAGCGGCCAGCAGACGGACCTCAGGAACGGCTCAGACTGTAGAAAGCCAGGGGACAGGATGGGATAGGGTTGCTCTGACTCCAGGGACCAACAGAACAACAGCGTCAGCTGAGGGAAGGCAGACTCCAGGAACAGCTGAGGGAGTGGCTCTAGGGACGGCCAGCCAGGTAGAGGGTTCTGTCTGGGCAACAGTGCCCACTCCAGAGAGTCCGGCTTCAACAACTGGAGGCGTGTCCAGTACGACAAAAGGTGTTTGGGTGTGGGACACCAGAAGCTCAGTGGCGAATAGGGCGAGGCCCCGCCAGGAAGGGAGGGAGACAACGACAGAGGCCGATGGGCCACCTGTAGAAACAGAGGGGGTCGGAACAGCTCCGGATGTCACTGGGAAGGTCATAGGGACCAGTAGGCCATCAACTCTGGTCTCAGAAAAATGGGTGCAGGAAATCCTGCAAGAAGCAACAACCGTTTCTAAGCCACATGACCTGGGCTCCATTGAAGGAACTACCCCAGCCGCAGGTGTGTGGATCCTGGGGCCCACCAGCATAGAGATGGCGTCTGAGGAGGGAGCCACCGAAGAGGACCTAGACATGCCTGTTGGAGACAGCGATCCCCAAGCCACACAGAGCCAGGCCCCAGCTGCTGGGTCCATGAGGCTCTTGGGCAAGGTGTCCTCCATGATGAGGTAAACTCCCAGACCTTCACCTTGGCCCGGGCTCCATATCTGCCCCACTCCCGGCATGCTCCTCCGTGGGCTGACCACTGTACCCCACTCCATCTGCTCACTTCTCTCTTTATAACCCCACGACAGCGAAGGGCAAGGACCATAAAAATCGCAGACCCTCCCTTGTTCAAGAGTCCTTGCTAAGGAGCCCTGAGTATTTTCATGTGGTTTTCAAGTAAAAATCTAAACATTAGGAAAAGAGAATATTTAGGTGGAACCTTTGGGACTTTTTTTTAAAAGATGAGGAACAAAAGCTCTAGAGAGGGAGAGGTACTTGCTGAAGCCACAGGGAAAGATTGTGGCAGAGCCAAATGGCCAGGGTAGATTCCCTGACTCGCTCCGTCCTGTTTCCCACTGTGCCACGCAGTGGGGCCCACACACACGGGCAGTGCAGGAGGGACTGGGATTCAGGGCATGGGAACCTGCAGACAGGGGTCCTGGTCCCAGCTCCGCTACTCACCCGCCGGGGGAATGAAGGCAGCCAACTTCCCTCACCTCAGCTTCTCACCTGTAAAGTGAGGGGCGAGGGCCAAATGCCCTTCAGCCTCCTGTCCAGCTCCAACCTTCCCTCCCCTGTGCTCTTCCTCCTCCCCCCACCGGCTCCTTCCTCTCCAGCGTTTCTCCAGGAGAGAATAACATCTCTCGGATCCTGATTCTCGCCTCCACGGTGCTGTGCCCCCTTACACTTGTGGTTCTTGGCCTGTTGCAAAAGAAGCTCTGGAGAAACAAGATGAGTGAGTTGAGTTGAAGTAGTCCCAAGGCTGGGGAGGGAGTTTTCGTTCCAATCAGACACCCTCAGGACTGGGTGGCGTCAGAGTTGGTGCCAGGACCTGGGATATAGAAATGCTAAGTTCTCGTCGGAGCCATTTAACCACTCCTGGCCTTGGTTTATCAATGAAATGGGAGAATCATCTCTATACTTAGGCCTTGGTGACATCCCAGAACTGAAGGAGAAGCTCTTCAGAGGATGGTAAGACAGATGCTAACTGTAGGCATGTGAACCACAGGAGCAATCCCAGACGTGGATGGCAGGAGGGCTGGGACCAGATGTGGGGGCAAACTACACTTGCACCCTCTGCATGCCCTGGCTGAAAGTCTCTTCCAGCCCAGGTTTAAATACTCCTAAAATGAGTGCTCCGTGGTGGTTAGCTCTGATGAAGAGAGGGTGAGATTTGTGGGAGCAAGTGGAAGAGGCTAAGATGATCACCCCAGGACCCCAAAGGCCTGGCCCAATCCTTTTCAATCAAAGGGGTCAATTGCAATTCTTCTGTGTCAGGAAGTTCCCAATGTCTTGTGGGGGTTGGGGTTGGGGTCCTCAGGGAATCAAATTCAGTTCCCAGTCCCTTCACAGCATCCTCTGTGTCTGTGCAGCTCAGGAGGCAAAAAGAACAGCAGCGGTCACCTTGATTCAGATGACATATTTCCTGGAACTGAGCCTCCAGCCAGACCAGCTGCCCCCCCACATGGAAAGGAATATGCTCCGGGATGACTGTCGTCCCCAGGCCAGTCTGACTGTCCCGGAGATGCACCCTGGACCCCGAGAAATGGAAGCATAAGCTGCTCAGTCACCGTGGAAAGAGAACCAGGACCAAACACCACAACTTCAGCCTTTTCTCATCCTTCCGCCACCTGTACGAAGGGGAGCTAATGGAGCTGGGGCTCCATCTGGGAAAGCAGAGGTTGGCCATCCTTGGACCCAGGAAGGTCAAACATTTCCCACAGCCAAAGGTGATGCATGATTCAAAGAAGGCTTCAAGAAAGGAGTGATTGAACCCTGATGGAGGTCACCTAGGAAAGTGTGGAATTTCCCTTCCTGGGGGTTTGAAAAGCTAAGAGGCTTCCAATTACTATAACTTCTTAGCCATCATTCCTAGCCCTTGCTAGCTGCCCCCCTTTCTGAAGTCTGTTAGCACTCAGCCTGCTGCACACATTTCATCATATTCACGTATACGAGGCTTGCCTTCTCAAGTACATTCTAAGCTCCTTTAGGGCAGTTATCATGTTGGATCCACCTCACTAAGTCCCCAGAGACCTTCCAACTCAGTGGGGCCCCAGTAAATATTTGTGACCGAAAGGCTGACTGGAGGGCATGGGTTCAGTGGCCTCTGAGATGCTCTGAGTCCCCTTCACTTGGGAGTTCCCCTGGTTGACTCCACCTGCAGGTGCTTTCTCCATAGAAACCAAAAAGAACAACCCCCATCCCTCAAATCATCCCTCCCCATTTGAGCCCACACTCATCATGCCATAGACTTTTTGACCCAGGCAAGATTTTCTGGGATTTTCCTAAACTCATGGATGAGGAGGGTATTTTTCAGTAGATTCTCACCTTCTTCATAAAGCTCCTTTTGTTCAACTGCTTATAAATCCTTGATATCAAGGACTGTTGATGAAGCTGGGAAATGGTCATTTTAAGGGGAGGGCGGTGTTAACAGACAAGGTGGCCAGAAGGAATTTTATGTGGACTCTGCTTTATGAACACTTCATTCCATGCCTATCAGGGAACTTTCACACCACCCTTGGTCCCACTGTCTTTTCAGGGGTCACATCTGCTCTTTTATTTTGCCAAATCTGTTAACCAGCTGTCTGAACTTCATGTTTGGGCAAAGCAGCCTTTGAGCAATGGGAGAGAAAGAAAGGAAACACTCCGATATCAAGTTGAGAATTGTCAGGTTGACAATTCCAGAAGGGTCAGCCCTGCCTCGTTATGCAGTCAGCAACACTAGAAACCCTCCATTAATACCTCCTCACAGCTGGTGCTGAGCACAGACACTGTCTCCAGAAAATCATGGTGAGTTAGTGGTCAAAGTTGGTGAGAGAGACCCCATTGTTTTGGATAAGTAGGGAAGTTGAATGGATCTAGCCAAATGGAATCACAGACTTTCAGAGCTAATAGATCTTTAGAGTCTAGGGTGAAGTAACTGAGGCCCTGTGGGGAGAAGTTATTTGGTTAAACCCAGTTAGTAATAGAGTAAGGATCACAAAAGGGAACTCCCAACCTTGATCTAGTGCTTTCTCCACTTCGCCATTGCTAAATAATCAATATATCAAAGCAAAACTAATTAAAAAAAATCAATAACACCGCAGTCATCTTGCTCCAGACCGTTTTTGTGAACACTCTCTCAGTGACCAGCCTGAAAAGCTTTTAAGAGTGATAGAGGAGGTAGGACAGCCATATTTCCCCATTCTACCAATGAGGAAGCAGGCCCCGGGGGTGGGGGTGGGGGTCGGCCCAAGTGTAATACAGCCAAGGTCACTTGGCCCATTAGACGAGAGTTCAGGCAGTAGAGGAGAATTCCACCTGACTAGTGTTTACGGGGCATCCACAGAACGTGAGCTTTTTTACGAGGTGTTCTGAGGGGGAAAAAAAAGTTGCGGTAGATCAAACAAGTTGGGAAATGTCGGTTAAACAATAAACGGGTTCTTATGCGTACGATATTTTGGAGCCTTTGATACAATAAGGGGCATTGTAATAGCCTTAGGGTGTGGGGATATGAACGTTTCCCCTGCGTTTTGGACTCTAGTGTCTTGGTGAAGCAATCTAGCTGGCCTGGGTTCCTCAGATCGCTCTTTGTTGGGGAAAGCTGGAGGCACGAAAGCAAGGGCTTGTGAACCCTTTCATGGCAAAGGCCTGCTAGTAAATACTTTAGACTTTGTAGGACACATAGCCTCTGTCGCAACTACACAGCGCTGCCGTTGTAGCACCAGATTGACCAAGGACAATACGTAAACGAATGATGCTGGCTGTGAGCCAACACAATTTTATTTTACAGAAACAGGTGTCAGGCTGGATCTGGCTCTAGAGCCATGATTTGCCAATCCCTGAGCTAAGCCATAAAAGCACACAAGACTCTGATGTCAAGGACCAGACCCCACTCTTCCTCATGAGTTTCCCTGCCTCCCCCTGCTTCCCCCTGACTACCCCTCTCAGGGACCTCTCCTTCCTCCGAACTCCTGTAACACTTTCTGCTTGGGGTTCAGCAAGGAGGATGCCCAGCCTGACAACTCCATCTTGGGGAAAGAGGGGCCCAGCCTGGTAAGGGTGTTGGCCAAGTGGCTGGAGGCAGGAGTGACTTCTGGAAGTAGAACCAGCTGCCATGTCAGGGTGCATGAGGGGAAGCTGAGGTCTGCCAAGGGGAGGGACCAGTACAAGTTCAAAGGGTCAGAGCAGAGTCAAGATTAGAGTCTCGGGGCCTACACTTTGGAGCTGGGCAGAGATAAGATCTGAGGGAAACTCTCACCGGGAAGGAAATGGGGCAGCCCCAAATCTTTACAGCTCTCCTTTATGGGCTAACCGATGCCTGGAGTGGGGCAGAAGTCAGACACCGCAGGCCAACTCCACCACTTGGGATGCGTCAGTGATTCGTTTTTCATCTTCTATCCCCAGCTAGCATGGTAGTCACATCACTGGGACGAGGGGCAGGGAAAGATCCATCACCAGGCTGGAATCGGGGAAGTCTCCCTGGAGATTTGAATGCAAGATGCAGTGAGCCCAGACTTTCCCATGATGGACAGGTCCTCCCCGAGAGCACACAGCTCTTAATGCAGCTGCTCCTTGCTTTAGTATCTCTATGTAGCAGGCACCACCCTCGGGTCTCACATTGCATTTGATGCAATGCTCCTGTAAGGCAGACATGAGAATTCTCACTTTCCAGACGCAAAAGCTGAGGTCAGAGAAATGAAGTAGTTAGACTCCTAGGGAAAGGGCAAGCGGAGAATTGAACACAAGCAGTCTACCTCCAAGGTTAAATCCTCGATCGGTACCCCACGCTGCCTTCCTCCACACTTGGGTTTATGCCCTGGCATCTGATCAGGTCTTTTCTTGTTTAACCTTTGAGAGCCTTCTTTGTTTTCCTCTTTAAGCCCATGCATAGAAGGTTTTATAATCATTTCCAGTAATTTGTTTTCTTTGGTCACCTATCAGGCTGATTCCAACCTGGCTAAGCAAAGTATACAAGTTCACAGAGCTGGAACGGAGAGCTAAAAAACCAGTCACTCTGTCGAGGTCCTTACTGGCATCATAGAGCTCAGATCTTTCATTCCCTGCAGGGTTGTCCGTCCATCTCAGGTAACCCAGGGCAAAGGCTTGACTCCCACCCCCCAGCAACTTGTCATTATTCTCCACTAAGATTTTGGGGGTTTCTTCCTCTCTTCCAGCAGCAGGTGTGGTCTGGGAAATATAGAATCAGCTTAAACACAGCTTCAGTCAGACACAAAAACGAAGGTATTTCCATGGAATGATCTATAATGCACTTAAGCCAAGTAGACATGAATTGTGTGACTATTTTCCACGGGTACAGATACTCTAAGGCTAAGAACTTGACAGATGTTGAATGGAAATGGAGATTCTACACAAAAGGCAACGGACCCTCTGGCAGGGTCCAGCACCACCAAGCTCTCCACTTCCCATTAAGGGATGCCACTTGGCTCGTGGGCACTGACCACCCCCCCCCACCCTGGGCCAGCCTGCTCCCTTCACTATAAGCAGGAGGATGAATTGTCACCACCCCCCACCTGCTCCCCAAGGGGTCAGCAGAAACCAGAAAGGCAGCAGAGAGGCAGGGGAGGACACTATGCCACCCTTCTGTAGGCACATAGAAATCATGAACGCTGGGGCACTGGGCCAGTAAGCCACTATTTGTCCCCTGGTCCCATTTTGTTGAAGACGCACATTCCCTTGTTAGCATCCAGAGTCTTCTCTGTTCCGCCTTTTCCAACCTCTGGCCGAGTTCCCAACTTTTGCTTATTTGCTGACTTGGTCTAGATCTACCAGTTCTGCTCTGAGAATAAAAGGTCAAAGAAGGGCCACTTCTTTCCCTAATGTTACAAATCCCTGACTCCCCCGAGTATCTTAGCTAAGAGGGGAAGAGCTAGGACTACCATGACCAAAGATGTTTTCCATGTTGCCCCGCAAGTGCAGATGTTGCACTTGAAACAAGAGTTCAGGAAAAGGCCATCAGCGAGTTTTGCTTCTGTAGAGCCTGGCATGGTAAAGGGCAGACTGGTTAGTGAATGCAACTGGCCTAAACTCTTCATTTTGCCAACACATGACACCACCTGTGTAGTGCAGACAACTAAAAATTAATTACAGTATATGTCACCAGAAAAAAAAGTGGATTGTACACCATTGCACTGATGGGAATGTTGAAGCTCAGAGGGGCATGGGCTGCAGGGGATCACAGAGGATATTTTTCCAGTGGCTGTCTGACAGGTGAACCGTGGGCTGAAGGCCAGGCTCAGACCAGGAACAAGGAAATGGCACATCTGCAGAAGGACCCCAGTGGCTTATGAGAGGGGCTGGGCCCTGTTACCTGACACTCTGCCTATTGACTTTGGATGTCTGCTCTAAAAATCTTCCTCCTTCCGCCCCTCCCTGGCCAGAGTATGGAGGTAGGAGAGGGCAAGAGAGCAGTTTGGTAACCTCAGAAAAGGCTGGTTCATTTGTTCTTGCCTCTCAGAATGAAAGAATAAAAGTCTCTGGGGCTCCTTGATTGGCCCCGGGAAATTGAAAGAGCCTTTGGACCAAGACCAATTTTCCGATCCAGCTTCACTATTCCTT